CGGWGCTGTTCCTGCACAGCACCCAGCAATGTGGTGTGATACTGCTGCCCTGGGTGTCAACAGCAATACAGACTTCAAAAYTGCCTGCCTGCAGGACCAGGAAGATTGACAGGGCATCAGCATATTCTCCCTCACACTGAACACATGATCTTCCTATTCCTAAAAAGCAGTGACTAGGAGGAGGACTGATTCAGGGGTTGTTTGATGCCTTTCTAAAATTTAAGTTCATGTTTTGGAGCTGGCATTGCCACCAGGGAAAGCTGCTAATGAAGTAAGTGGATTTTGCMTAGCTCAGATCTTCATCACTATTTATGTGTTTAATTTCTTACTGCCAAAGAAATAGGACGTTCAACCACTGACTTCAAAAGGAGGATTTGTGGAAGCAGCAGTATCTGTATTCTATATAGATTTTTAACTAACGTTTTAACTTCATTGAGAAACCATGCATTTCTAACTCACTTTCCCTTTACAACATGTTCTTGGCTTGGATTATTCCTTCAAGTTTTCTTGCTCTTTCTTCAACTCCATTTACCATCTGATAAAAAAAAAAAAAAAAAAAAAAAAAAAAAAAAAAAAAAAAAAAAAAAAAAAAAAAAAAAAAAAAAAAAAAAAAAAAGAAAGAGAACCCACAGGAAAGAGGACAGCCACAGCTGTGCTCCTCATTAAAGACAAGATAAACACAGACTGCTGTCTGGAAAGCTGAGTGTCCTCAGGAGCAGGGAAGTCAGGTGGGGGAACAGTTTGCAAGATACCAACATGTTGGCTCCTGGCCTCCAGCCTAAAACTGATCTGTTGGCCAACAGTCACTCAGCTTGAGTCCCTGGAACAACACCCTGCTGCTTTGCTGCTGCAGGACATGTAATGCTGTTACAGACTCGGTGGAAATGCTGTGAGGGTGCAAACACCRTTGAAAGCCCTGCACAGACCAGGCTTTTGCAGGCGCGGCTCTTTCAGCACCTCTCTCAAGCAAGTGCAAGTGTCAAGGACATTCTGGATGCGTGAAAAGTATGTTCTGAATGAGCCAGTACTGGTAACAGTAAGAAATTTTTACTTTTTAAAGATCCCCCTCACCTACTCTATTTTCCCTACAATTTCTTGATGCTTTTGTTTTTTGGAAGACGGGAACCAGTCTTTCCTTTGGAAAGGAAATTTGGAACTGCAAATACAGTGTAGAGATGCAAGAGAACAAGCTGACACAGCAYAGCAACTAAGGGTGTATCTCTTATAATTTACTGGAGCTCACCCTCCTGACCTTTCTGTATTTAGATCAGCAGGGAGGGTGTGTAATGAGGGCTGCAGGAGGGCAATCGGGTTCTTACAGCTGGTCAGGCAAATTAATGYGAATTGCTTGGCAGTTCACCAAAAGCAGACCAATGAGGGCTCTTCATCAGAAAAAAAAAAAAGAGGAAAAGAAATCTTGCATGTAGTCCGTCCATGGGCAGGATTTGTCAGATTTCTAACCTGCTGCAGAAGAAAGCAGTGGTTCAGTGTTTCAGAAAGACACCACAGCTGCAGGCAAGTTGCTTTTGTCTGACACATTTCAGAAACCTTTCTGCTTCCCCACCTTCCACAGCTTCTCGCTTCATTTTCCCTCCACGCCTTTTCCCAGCGTCATTGTRTCCAGGAGGAGTAGAGAAATAGTAAACACCTAGCAAGATACTCTGCCCTTCCTTAGCCTTCTAGACCACTCTCATAACCAGGCACTGCAGAGGCAAAGACTTTTGTAAAGGTAACTCCTGGGAGCCAGGTACTTTGAACAGGGTACTTTCCCCTCCACACCCCCTCCAATCCATGCAAATGGCAGAAAATTGGTTTATCCACTCAGCCCTCATGTGGACATTCCAATCCGACCTGACTCTTTAATTTCTGAGGAGGTGGARAACCTGCATAAATCAGAAGTCACCTGTAAAATGTATATTTTTGTTCCAACTAGCATAGTTGTGGCAGTGCACRTGCTCTCCCTTCCTAATGTTCTCCATATGCTCTTCAAAGTGAAATGCCTTTTCCAGCAGGTGATAGTTATTGGCTTTGGGGCATGGATGCTCATGGGTGTTTGGAGCAAGTAGGAAGAAAAAACATACGTGTGATTTCAGTACACTTTTTCAGAAAAGCTCAGGCATTGTACAGGACTGTTGGCCATCTCATCTCATCAAAGAAGCAGTGGATTCTTTTGATTTTGACTTGCAGAGAGGCATAAGGGTGTCATGAGCATTGCACTTGCCTCGCATCCATATTGCCATCCCTCAGCCCCTGACATCAGCACAATGGTCAAGGGCACTGAGCCCGGCTTGCTCTGCAAGCAGCACTTCTGCAGGTTGCTTTCTAGCGCTGCCAAAATCACTACCCCTTACCAGGTTGTTTTTATAATCTGCTTTTGGGGTACAGGTGTTAGAGCAAAGAGACTCATCACAKATAAATAAACAAATAATCACATCTGTCTGATTTGAATGGCTGCACTATCAGACATGACAAAGGATTTTGCACCACATGCTGCAATAAGATATTTAAAATCTCACTCGAAACCTGTCAGGTTCCCTACTCCACGGAAGGGAGATAACGAACACCACATACTTCAAAGTGACGTTTTAAGGACTGAAAAATGTTCATGTGGGGCTTTGAAAATGCACATAAATCATAGGTGTTAACATTGAGACCCTGTTTATTTGAAATTGTCCCTGTTTGCAATGCAGCCTTTACCTCCCCTTTCCGCTATGGGCCAGGGCACTGCCAAACAGGAGGACATGGCTGCCTGGCTTCCCACCTTGGGAGCCCCAAACCCAACAGCCCCAACAGCAACAGAAAAGGCCAAGGCTTCACTCCCACCACCACATCCTCATCCAGTGCCAACATGGTCTTTGGGGTGAATGGAAAACAAAGCCAGATCTCAGGGAAGCACAAAGAGACAGTGGGATTGGGATTGACCTTGGTGGCTGAGCCCTATGCCAGGGGAGATGTTTGCCCAAATGGTGGCTCCCTGCCCGCTGATTGCAGGCAGGCAGTAAATGTCCCTTATAAGGAGAAAATATTTTCTCATGTCCTATTTTCATGCTAATTACTTAAATGTATTTGGAAAAGATAGCACCAAATATCCAACAATGAGAGAATGTTAAAGTGGAAAAGTCYTGCACAGGGCTCACAGCTCTGCCAACGCCTGGAATCCCGACAGCCTACGGTAACATTTCCTTTTCTATCTCTGCCTGCTTCAGGAAGTGTCAAGAAATTTAAGATTTCCTTTCCAGCTATTCAGTACTCACTGCTCCAGCTCCAGGCTGTCTGTAGAGCCACAGGTTTTCCACAGGTGCAGATATTACTTCACTCACCTTCACATAGGCATGTGCAATAGGTAGGAGACTGATGTAGCTTCATTTTCCCCTGGAGAAGAGACATGTACCAGGACCAGGATAAGTACCTACAAGAGCACACCCCGGTTCTGAGATTTGAGACACCTAGCCCAAGAGATTTGGAACACTGGTAATTTGTACCATGTTTTGCACATTCAGAGCACAGCTTAATAAGGAATGTTCAGCACTTGCCACTCTAATAGAACCCCAGGAACAAGGGCATTATCTAGAATATCTGTGCAGAATAAATGAAAAATCCTTCGCTGGAAAAAACAGCAAGAACTTACATCCCACATGCACAAAGGAGCTGAGTTACTGTTGCACAAGCACTCATGTTGCTGGCGTTTCCTGATACCTCGGAGCTCCGCTGCAAAGCTGGTTCAGGATTTTCTCTGTGGTATCATTAGCAGCGAGTTTTGCTGCACCCACGCCCACCTCTGTGACAAGACAGCAGCAGGAGACAGAGACCGTGGGGCTGAGCACAGCCGTGTGGGTGCTGAGAGCGTGCCTCAGGTCAGCTGGAGGTAGGGGGAATATGTCCTTGTCACAGCTCTGCTGGTGCTGCCATGCTCAGTCACATTCTCTCTGCAGCTTAGAATCAAGGAATCCTTATTGTCACCATGCTCTAACTGAGCCAATCTCGGTGTCATTAAGGTTGGAAAAGACCTCTGATGACCTCACCATTACTTTGGAGCGGTCGAATGATTTATGCACCAATGCATACATACAATGGGAGTGTATGATATGAGACACTGACCCCGTCAGCTGGCTTTTGGTACCTGCCACGGAAACGCAGGGGAACACCACTCAGGAGACCAGCAAAAGCCACTGGGCTGTTTTAGAAGCCCGAGTTYTCTGTCTGTGCAAACTTTCCTGCCCACTGCCACGCATGGGCTCTCTGCTTCCTGTTCACCTCTATGAATTCCCACGGCATCCAACTAAAAAACATCCAGGCCTGTGGGGATTTGTTTTTCTTTGTGGCACCATGCACGCCAACGCAAATCTAAGGCCCTTTATAAATGCAGATCAGCTCTCATATCTCTTATGCCTYGGCTGGACATATAGATGATCCCTTGGGATAAGCTTGGAAGAGTAACGTGAACCTCACTGCAAACCCACAGATCCACGGTAACAGGATGGKGAGCCGGTGGAACCTCCGCAAAGCTTTCCAATGCCACGGGGTGAATCTGTCTGCATTGGAACACCCCAACAGCCCACATTTGGGCGSCTCCCACGGAACCCAGCGCGGGGGATACTCGTGTGTTCAGCCCAATGGGCAGCGCCAAGATTCCGGCCCGGTTCGGGGAAGAGGGATGGAAGCGGGGACGCGAGGTACGGTCTCGCCGACAGCGCCTTCATGCGTGGGCTCTTCTTTTTTTTTTTTTTTTTTTTTTTTTTTTTTT